GATGGCTTTCTTTCACAGTTAGAAGAAAATTGAAAGTTATTACCTTCATGTATGAAGAATATATAAATAATTCCTACAGACCAATAATATAATAGACAAAACCTTTGAACGGATTTGATGCAGGTGAACCCCAGAATTGAGATTTGGCCTGAGAGGTCAAGTGGGTTTTTGGCTTTGTGCTGGGAGGAATTCAAACACAAGCTATAAGTAAGAGTCAGAGTGAGTTTATTAAAGAAACAAATCCAGCCCACGTGCATGGCTGGGTTTTCAGTTGGAAAATAAAACCAAGTTTATTGAAATGACATAGGCAGAGCACCTGGGCTGGTTGAGGGAAAGAATGGCAGCCTGGGTTTTATTTTTTACAGCTATCTCTTGATTATATGCTAAGCAAAGAGTGGAGTTTTCAGAGGTTTTCTGGGAAAGGAGTAGGGAGCTCCTGGAATCAAAAGTTCCTCCCCTTTTTAAACCTTATAGGGTAACTTCTGGGAATTGCCGTGGTAATTGTAAACTGTCATGGCACTGGTGGGAGTGTCCTCAAGCATGCTAATGCATTATAATTAGTGTATAATGAGCAAAAAGGACAAGCAGTTTGCTTTCCACACCATCTTGGTCTTAAGTTGGTCTCGGCTGGCTGGTGACCTTCAGTTTTGGAAAGTAGTACTGCTAGATCCCTATCTCAGACTCTTTACAAAGAATGATATACAAATGGCAAATAAGTACATGAAAAGGTATTCAACATCATTAGATATCAGGAAAATACACACTGAAACCACAAGAAGACGGTTCTATGCACCCATTAAAATGGCTAAAATGAAAAAAGACTGACAACGCCACGTGTTGAAGAGGATATGGAAGAACCAGAACTCTCGTACATTGTTGAAGGAAATGAAAAATGATACAACCACTTTAGGAAACCGTTGATCAGTTTTGCTTCATAAAAAATAAAAAACACACCTGCCTTATGCTCCAGCAATTACATTCTAAATATTTACTCAAGAGAAATGAGAAGATGTGTCAACACAATGAGTTGTATACAATATTAGTTTTATTCATGATAGCCAGAAACTAGAAGCAATTCAAATGAATACGAACAGGAAAATTGAAAATTGTGGAATTTTCATACATTAGAATTCTAATTTTTCAGTATACAAAATAATAGACTAACAATACATGCAAATACATAGATAAATCTCAAAAACATATTGAGCAAAGAAAGCCTTTGTCAAAGGAGTACATAGTCTATGATTTCATTCATTGGAGTTCTAGAATGGGTGGAATTGATGCATGGTGGAAAAAACTTAGACTGTAAGCTTCAGGAGGCAGGAGGAAGATTGGCAGAAAGTGGAGGGTGAGAAAACTTTTAGGGGTAAATGGAAATGTTCTATATCTTGTTTGAGATGATGGTTATGTGGGTAACTATATTTATCAAAATTTATCTAAGCTGAGTGAGATGGCATATGCCTATAGTCCCAGCTACTGGAAAGGCTGAGGAAGGAGGATCCCTTGAGCCCAGGAGTTTGAGGGTATAATTCTCTATGAATGCATCTGTAAGTAGCCACTACACTATAGCCTGGGTAATATAGCAAGACCCTGCTTCTAAAAAAAAAAAAAATGTTATTTAACTTTAAGGTATGTGCGTTTCCCAGCATATCAATCTTACCTCAATTAAAAATTAAACTTTGGACCAGGCACAGTCATACCTATGATCCCAGAATTTGGGGAAGCTGAGGCAGGAGAACTGCTTGAGCCCAGGAGTTTGAGACCAGTTTGAGCATCAGAGCGAGACCTCATCAACAAAAAATTTTAAAAATTTAAAAGTTGAGCATGATGGCATGTGCCTGTAGACCCAGCTACTCTGGAGACTGGAGTGGAAAGATCACCTGAATCCAGGAGGTTGAGGCTCTGGTGAGCTATGATTATGCCACTTCTCCAACCTGGGCTATAGAGTGAAATGCTGACTCAAATAATAGATAGATAGATAGATAGGAAATTTTGCCTGGCTCTGACATAATTTTCCTCTTGGCTATCTCTCTAATCTCATATCCCACTCTTTTACCCCAGGCATTACAGTTTTCTTGCTGTTCCTCAGACCCACCAAATACTCCTGCCCAGTCTTTGCACTTGCTGCTCCCAGCTGAAACACTCTTCCCTTGGCTTGTTTCTTTGCTTCCTTTAGGCTTCTGATCACCTGTCACCAGGTAAGAGAATCCGAGTTTTCTGTCTGAAACTCTATGCCCCGACTTATCTCCAGATGTGGTATGTCTTTATCCTACGTTATTTTTATTCTATAATGACTGATTTTGTAATGTGTTAATTTATTATGTTATGTGTTCTTTTTAACTGTTTATTTTCTTCTCAGATTAGAATGTGAGTTTAATGATGGCAGGGATTCTTTGGTTGCTGTTCATCACCATATCCAGTACTTAGCACATGGCACAGAGTAGGGTCTCAGTAAATACTTATGAAATGAATGAATGAATACCTCTGTGACTTTACTTGAAATGTATTATCTTCTGGTCTGAACATGGTCAGAGATTCTCTTCTAAAATCTTTTTTTGTATGTTTGCATTCTGTCTCTCTCGAGAAGTGACTCCTTTGTCTGCAGCAGCTGGGAGTAAAATACTTTCCTGTGATAAAGTTGTTCTTCTGCCTCATGTTTTTCTTGTTTACTGTATCCTTCCAGATAGATTTGGAACACACATATGCAAACCAAGGCCGTGTGTTCTCACATTATCTGCATTCCAAACCAGCTGTGTAGCTTAAATCAGATCATTAAGTTGCTGAGTCAATTCATTTGTTAAATTAAATGACTGAAATGATCAGGCTGAATAGACTGTGGTATGGCCATTTCATTTTTATATGTTTAGTTTAAGATAAAATAAACGAAAAATAAGCTACAAATATTTAAAATAGAAAGAGATTTAATATTTCCATTGGAGATGGAGGGCTGGCCAGTGGCTATAATTGATGGATAACTTTATTTGACTTCCTGGGGGATATAATCAGTCATTGTTAGGGAAATGAATGGCTGCATAAGTATCGTACGTGTTTTAAGTATGCTATGCTCAAGATTAAACGAGATGAATTGCTCATGGAGTATTAATGGCAAGCACCTTAGGCTACTTCACATTTCACAGTTAGCTCTGAGATAAAGGACATGGAACATTGAGTTAAATTTCTTTATTGCATAGAAAGATATTTCTCGAAAAATAATAACTTGTCCTTAAAATGTTTGATTCATGCCTTACAGATAAGTCTATAAAAGTTTTGACCTAAACATCTGAATTAGTGACACCTGGCACAGACAGGTAATGGCTCAAACATGGCATATTGTTTAAATATGCCAGGAAATATTTAGATTTTGGTTGTTTCATGACATAAGCACATTCTGTGCACTGTCGGAATGAAGCAGTTATAGAAATAGAAACAGATAACATTAGTGAATATTTGATTCAACTTAACCAATATTTTCTGGGCATGTGTTATGCACTCTGCAAGAAATTGTAAATACAGAATAAACCAGATGTTCTTGTGCTTAAAAGGAACACAGGCGGAAGGGAGTTTTGATATAAGACAGATAGATACACAAATGAGTACTAGACTCTAAGGAAAACTTTAAAACACACCATAATCAAATGTAACGAACAATTAGAAAATGATATGGCAGATTTTGTCTTAAACGTTTTCACCTAAGTCTTTAGGTGTTTAAGACTTAGGATAAGTATGGAATTTCAGGCAGATGAGACAGCATGAAAAAGGAGCACAGGCAGGAAATTGGATGGGTTGGTGGGAGCCTACTATGAGAACTTAGAGTTGGAAGGTAGATGTAATGAGACATAGAGCTAGAAAGGTCAGCAGGGGGAATGCTGTTGGAGGGTTGAGGAGTTTAGACTTCATTACATTTTTCATAAGGAACCTCTAAAGTTTTTATGAGGGTAGTAGTGACACAGTCATATCTATGTAAAATAAAGTCACTTCTCTAAAGGTGTGCCGGTTTGACTGTGGGGAGAAGAGAAGAAAGGCAGTCTCTGTAATTAGCTGCAGCTCACTATGAATGGCAATAGTTCTACTATATGTTTGCAAACATTCTATACTCAAAAGTGGAGATACATTTGTATGTGTCTTTTTAATTTCATTTTTTCATTTTTTATTTTTTTAGAGACAAGATCTTGCTCTGTTGCCCAGGATGACCTTGAAATCCTCGACTCAAGCAATCCTCTCACCTTGAAAGTTCTGGGATTACAGGCATGAGCCACCACACCCAGCCTATGTAGGTGTCTTTATACATAAGAGGAGGCATTTACACACACTCACACAACACACACATACATACACACATTGGTTTGACAGACGCAGGGAATCTAAGAAGTAGAATATGATAGTGATTAAGGACATGGGCTTTAGAATCCAACAAAATCCAGGTCCCATCACAAACTGTGTAAATTGTTTAAATGCTTAAACTTTCTAATACAAAATGGAGTCAAAAATATTTGCTGTTGTGTTAAGCATTAAATGTAATAACCTACATGAAGGATTTAAAATAGTTCTGCCTATTATATGTACACAACAGCTTGGAGCTAACATTACTACTATTGTCATTTTCACTATACAGGTGCCAATCGGAGACATACCCCAAGTCAATGAGTAATTTGGTAATAGCATTTACCAGGAGCACCTTGAAGTCTACAGAGTCAGGAAGAGAAAGACCATTCTCTCTGAAACAATGGTTTTGCTATTTTAACAAAAGATCCAGACACAGAACACAGAATCCTCTAATATCTGCTCCAAGTTTCTTTCCCAGAAATTACCTCAATGAGCAATCACTTTCCATCTATCTTGCAGCTTCACCATATAATTACTAATTCATTATGTTACTCCTGCTCAGGAATGCTCTCCAAAACACTTAACGCAGCTAAGTTTATCAAACATATCGTTCCCAACTGATTGAAATTTATCCTACAACAGCTTCTATGACTCATGGAGAAAACAAGCTACAAGGATTGTAAGTGATATTTGTTTTTATTTTGGGAAGATGTTTAAAAAAACAACATTAACAGAAACAATGACATTTGCAACAATTGAAAAATAAAGCGAATTAAAGTTCTCAGAAAAGATGATGAGGGTAATTTGTCCTCAACTCTGGTTTTTGACGCACTGGATGATTGGTGCCAAACTGAGTCAACAACCAAACATATTCACTGAAAACAGTAATAATCCATGAAAGACAGAAAACTGCTCTGTAATGAATCACAGAACTCAACACTACACAGAATCATTCAGAGGGTTTAATTAACCAGAAAGCCTTCATTATAACAGCTCATCTGTAACAAGTTCAATGACATGGATGTTGAAGTGAGCATTGTCGCTGGCTCCATTGCTGGGAAAGGCCTGGTCCACAGTAGACATCCAGAGCTCAGCTTCCCAATGAACTCCCACCTGTCATACCCCATGAGGGCACGCAGATCTTGAATTCACTTCCTTCTCCCCGATTCTCATATTTTCTAGGTAGATGATGCAGAGGGGGTACTACAGAGAGAAGATCTGAGAAATAAAACCTTAGATTACATTACTGAATGTAGTCTGTTGAGTAGATTTCCTCAAAACAATAAAAAATATTTTACCCATGGAGAAATCGCCAAACACATCAGATTTTTGTAGCTTTAAAATTCTTCCCTTCTTTGTTCTTAGGAAATAGTCTATAGTCTAGCTCTTGTCACCTACCTCCACTTTTTCGACCTTGTCCTCTCCTATAGCCCCTTATGCACTATGAACTCTATTTACTCATCTACATATTGACCTCTGTATATAACTTATATATTTGTACAGGTACTCTTGCCCAGAATTTTTTCCCACGATAACTTGTAGAAATAATTTTATTGGCTGGGCATTGTGGTTCGTGTTTCTAATCCTAGAGTTTTGGAAGGCTGAGGCAAGAGGATTGCTTGAGCACAGGGGTTCGAGGCTGCAGTAAACTATGATCATGGCATGGCACACCAGCTTGGGTGACAGAGTGAGGCCCATTCTCAACAAACAAACAAACAAATAAATACAACGGTAGCACGGTACATTTAAAACAAAGAGAAATACTTTTCTTTTGAAGTTTCACAAAACTCCCGTCTCATCCAAGGAACCTTTCCAGATATCTTTTTTCTTTTTACATACTGCTATAAGACTTTGCTTCTAATACTTTAGCCTTGATATCACTTTGGTTTCATAAATACTTGATTCCAACTCATATTATAAGGTCTTAGAAAACAGGAACTAAGACTTTTGTATTACTATATCTTCTGAAATTCCTGGTATAGTGTGTATTGCATTGGAGTTGAGAATGTAAAGACAAATACTGGCTTCACCACTTACTACTTAAATGTAGGCACATTGTTTTACTTCTTGGAATTTCTGATTATGCATCTGTAAAAATGAGTGTAATAATAGCAGTTTCAAAGGCTTGTGATGATTACCAATGATAATATGTGTAAAGCACTTAAAAGGGCACTTGATCCATTGTGTGTGCTCAATAAATGGTAGCTTAAAAACAAATTCTGAGTTCTGCAGAGTTGAGGTATGGCAATTATTTTCTCAATATAAATCATTCGTGTTATGCCCTCAACCTGACCTTCAATTAAAAACAAAACAGCTATTAGTGAGAAAGAGTACCTGAGCACTTAATCACAACTCTAATCAGCAGGAGGAACAGCTCTTTTCACAGTGATACATTATTACCAAACCCATTTGTCTCTGTGAGCAACGCACCCTACAACAAATCTAATGTTACCTGCTGATTCCTCTGGGATCCACCGCAATGATAAACCTTCCAAAAATTGGAAAGTCTTTCTAGAATACCTTAAATAGTCATCTGAATCACTGTCAGAAATGGTGGATGGGAAAATATGAGTTTTGTTCTAGTCAGGTGAATTGTTGAGCTTTCAGAAATCTTCTGAGCTCTGTGATACAGTGCTATTCTTAGGCCTTGCATTTCTAACCATATTATCTGTGACACGGTGACCTGAAAATTTAGATCAATTTAATATGTGATCAGTAACAAATGAAGTTAAATTGTATTTAACTGTTCTAAAAACATTTTCAAATAACCTATATGTGCATCTTTAGTTAGGGAAATTCCATTACAGTTGAATTGAACAGAAGCTGAGATAGCTCTGTCTCTCTTTCTCTTTAAATATATTCACACACACACACATGTATATCTATAGATATACATATACATATAGAAACTATAAGTTATATATAACAGCTTTTAAAATATATATTTATATATACATTCTAGATATATATATATGTATAACTTTTTGATAGAGTTTTTCTGACTCTCCTCTCCTAAAAAAAAAAAAAAAAAAGTCCACTCTCTCCTGAGAGATCTTGCTGTATGTTTTACAATGTTCCTTCACAGCACCACCAATATTTTATTGTTCCTATGGGTGGGCAGGGATTAATATTTTTGTATTTTTAATCTGATTCTTAGAGCCTAACACAATGTTGGCCCATGGGAGATGACCATGAACTCTTGTTCCTTCAATCAATTAATACATGTTCTTAGTTTTTCCTAATCCATCATTAACTTGCTGTATAATTTTGAGCACCATCAATCTCTATGGGCCTTGCCTCTGATTCTTCATAGAAAAGAAACATTAACTACTATGGATTTGTCCCCAGGGGTACTCACAGACATGTTGGTAAGACAGTCATAGTGCTCATCTTTCCAAATCTCACTTTCTTCTACCCCATATTACCTCCCTCAGTACAGACAGTGACAGTGTTAGTGAGAGCACAGTTAAACCACCTTCCTTATTAAATCTATGGCCAACAGGCCCCTGAAATAAGCAGTCAGATCTGCTTTGGTTTTAATATGGTTAGAAAACATAGCTGGATCTCATCTTGTATTTTTTTTTTTTTAAGGATTGATGACCAGGACCAGAGATCAAAGAGTCCTGTTGTTCATCTTTGTTCTTTAACTTTAATAACTTCTGACACTCCATCAGGGTGTCCTGGAGGCCCAGATGAGATGACAGAAAACTCGCCAGGCTCTAAATATGTCCTCCTATGAACCTAAGAGGGATAGGAAATAACATTACCCTTTTTTAAAGTGAGCTATCCTTAATCCTTATTTTACAGATAAGGAACCTAAAGTTAAGAGAGACTAACTGGTTTCCTTATTCTGGGCATGGGTCAAACAAGGAAGTAGTTTCCTCAGAATATCAGGGATAGGTGTTTCCCTGACAAAACACAGCTCAGTAAACATGAACCTTGTATATCCACTACTATTGATGCTTCTTTTGGAATCGCAGTTGCTAATAACTCTTCCTCTCTTTAGGACCTTAACAGGTATGGAAAGAGAAGGTAACCAGGCACAGTGGCTCATGTCTGTAATCTCAGCACTTTAAGAGGCTGGGGCAGGAGGACTGCTCGAGCTTAGGAGTTCAAGACCATCCTAGGCAACATACCAAGATCTTGTCTCTACCAAAATAAAAGTGACTGGGCATGGTGGTGTGCATCTGTAGTTCCAACTACTCAGGAGGCTGAGGTGGAAGATCCTTTGAGCCCAGAATATTGTGGCTGTGGTGAGCAGTGATTGTGCCACTGCACTCCAGAATGGGTGACAGTGTGATGAGATTCTGACTAATAAATATAAATCAAAGTGAGGTCCAGTCAGCTTTATTGATGGCTGTTCAGTAAAACATGAGACACAGAGCTTCTTGATAAAGCTAGATTTGAGATTGTGACTAGGACCGACCTGTGACCACCTTAACACCTCACCCTAAATGTGGACATTGGTATCCACCAGTGGAAACTGTTGGGTCCAATGTACTTATCCAAATGTCAAGGAAGAAGTTGAAGAATGGTCCAACTCCACAAACTGGTGGAACAACTGTTTGCTTCTGGATGGGAAGAAAAAGTGAAAGTCCTGTCTTTTCTTTAAAAACCCCGGGAAGAAAATACAAAAGAAAAGAAGAACGTGCTCATATTGCCATTCAATTTAACAAACATACCTTAAGGAAAGTTACCCCCATAGGGCATGAAAGTCTCAAAGTTCAAGTCATCTATTCCTGGTCTCTGAGTTGGAACAGATGTGGATGAAGAGATACAGGAAGTATCCACTTCAATATTTTCTGCTTTATGTGAAGTAGAGTAAAAGTGTCTCTTCTATGGAAATAAAAAAGAATGAGTTCTTACTTATGGAAGCTTCTGGTTTAGGTCTTCATCATATCGCACCTGCACTATGGCAATAGCCTCTTAATAAGTATGTCTGTCATCATTCTTTTCATTTATGTCTTTTTTTCTTCACAAGAGTGAAGATCTTCCTTTTAAAGATTAAACAATGACTTCTGCTTTCTGCTAAACCTTCATTTTTTTTTTTTTTAAAGAAACCCACCCTTTCTTTCCATGCCTCATTTCCTTTCCTTTTAAAAAAAATTTTCATTCTGACAGGGGTTTAAGTAAATCTTTTTCTATAAAATAGGGAAGATGGTAATTGCTGTGCAAGTTTTTGTGATAGTTATATGAGGTAATACCATAAAGACCTAGTAAGTACCTAGCTATTATTCTCATCTATATATTTCTCATCTTCTGCCTTCTCTAAGCTACCTTGGCACAGTACATGTATTCCTACTGGTAGGCACAATACTGCCATAGCTCTTAGATTAATATGGGCTTAAGGCTGGAAGTACTCAGCTCATTCAAGTAATTTAACACTGACTGAGGACACAAGGTCCTAAATATGATTACTGGGTTCTTCACTTGCATCCTGTCTTCCTGTAAACATGACTTAGTCTGTGGTGTTGCAAAGCTACTTGCTGCTTATCTAGAACTGACATGTTAGAGGTTAGAGAGAGAGGATGCCTAGAGACAAAAGTTGTAGATTGAATCTTTTGGAAGCAATCCCTGCAATGATCATAAATGAGTGCAAAGAAAACACAGACCCATATGTAAAGAATATCTGTATTTAAGGCAGTGGCCTTTAGCCACCAATGTGTCTTGAACCCATTCATGAATATTGCCGCAAGTGTTCCCACAGCAAAATTATAAGATGGTGAGGGCAACTTAGTGCATTATAATTGAGTCATTATAGCTTCAAGATTAAATAACTGGACAACCCCTTTGGGTCCCCTCCCACTGTGGGAGCGTTTCTATCCTCTCAATAAACCCTGCTTTAAAAAAAAAAAAAGGTCAAATAACTTGTCTATAGACAGAACCCAGGATTCCTAAACCTCTGCTAAAGAAAAGCTGAAGTTAGGTTGGTGGGAATGGAGAAAGCCTTCTGTGGCTGATGCAAATCTTAATACTAATTTTCAAGATCTGGCTTTCAGAGAGGAAATGCTTTTTCCTGCTTACCTCACTTCTTTTTTAATCTCTTGGCAGAAAGGTCTTGAAAAAATAGAAAATGTTATTAGTGTTAGAAAAGTGCCAGTTTCAGCTAAGCCCTGTTGAGTCAGTAGTTCAACATAAGAGGATCAGTAAAGAGGGTAAGAACAAATAACTTCTAAGGCTCTCTGAGTATTTGAATTTATGATCTATAAAACTCCATCCATAAAAGGCAAAAAATTGGGGCATGTAAAAATTATGGACATGTTCTTCACTGGGCTTAGTCATTAACAAAAAAAGTTTTTCATAAATGTAACATTTGGGTGTTTTAGCAGATCTAAATATTTCACATATATGGAACCTTACTAAATGGAAGGCACTATGCAAAGAACTAGATAAATACTGTCCCCATCTTAGGAAACGTAGACTCTAGAGAAGGGAAAACTCAACCCTGAAAGTTACCTCTTATACAGTTTAGATTTTTTCTTCTTTCTTCGAGTTACATTTATGTAAAAGAATACAAATATGCATGAGATGAACTCAATTCTCTATCATGCCTCAAAATACCTTTGCTAATATATTTCTTGAATTAACAAACTCCTTCTCTACAAAGAATATTGGTTTCTCAGTGGAGTTGGAGTACAGAAAAGATTCCACAGCAAGCAATAAAAGATACGCTCTGTCTTCAGGGAATTTTAAAACACATCAAAGAAAATACATTTGAACTTTGTTTTCTTATTTATTGATTTAGTTACTTAAATTTTTTTTAGTCAGAGTCTCACTCTGTCACCCAGGCTGGAGTGCAGTCATGGCTCATTGCAGCCTAGAACTCCTGGGTTCAAATGATCCTTCCGCCACAGCCTCCTGTGTAGCTTGGATTGCAGGTGTGTGACATCATGCCCAGTTAATTTTTTTTGGTAGACGTGAGGTGTACTATGTTGCCCAAGCTGGTTGAACTCCTGGGCTCAAACAATTCTCCTGCCTTGACCTCCCAAGTGTTGGGATTACAGGTGTGAGTCATCGCACCTAGACTTTTTTCACTTTCAAAGTAATAAAACCACAATGAAGAAAATATAAAAAAGAAAGAAAAATCACCCCTAATCTCAACCACTTTAATACTCTCTTGCCACATCTTTCTAGTTTCTTTTGCTGAGCCCTCCTGTTCTTGTGGATTCTTAATGCATCAGAGCGCAGAATTCTTGGATTTATCTCTTCTTTCTTCACTTGCTCCAAAGTGACTTTGTCTAATCTCCTGGTTTTAAATGCTATGTTTGTGCTGATGGCTCCCAGATTTATAACTCCAGTCTAGACATCCTGCTACTTCTTTTGAATAGTTATACCTATCTACATCCCTAGCCTTCGACAACTACTGTCTCCAGCTCTGTAATTTGTTACGTTGAAAATGTTATATAGAGAGATGAGGTCTCGCCAAGTTGCGACAGAGACTCCAACTCAAAAAAGAAAGAAAGAAAGAAAATGTTATATAAATGGAATTATACAGAATGTAACTTTTCAAGATTGACTTTTTTTACTCAACACAATTCCCTTGAGATCCACCCAAGTTGCTACATGTATCAAATGTCCATTCATTGTCATGTGTATCTACACCTCTTATTTAAACATTTGCCCATTGAAAGATATTTGATTTGTTTCCAATTTTTGGCTATTAAAAATAAAGCTCTGTGAGCAATCATATACATGTTTTTGTGTCGACATATTTTTTTATTTCTCTGGGATTAACGCCCAGGAATGTGTTGCTGGGTTGTATCTTAAGTGTCTATTTAGTTTTCTAGGACACTGCCAAATAATTTTCCAGAGTGGCTGTACCATCTTACATTCCCCCCAGTAATGTATGAGGGATCTAGTTTCTCCACATCCTTGCCAACATTTAGTATCACATGTCTCTGATTTCAGCCATTCTAGTGGGCATGTAGTGGTATCTTTCAGGAGTAACTTTCACATCCTTAATGATTAATGATGTTGAATATTTCTATTTATTGTCTGTATATTCTTGATGAAATGCCTCTTCATGTCTTTTGCCCATTTTCCAATTGTATGGTTTGTTTTCCTGTTGAGTTTTGAGAGTTCTTTATGTATTCTACACAAGAGTCTTTTGTCAGATATGAGGTTTGCAAAGATTTTCTCTACCTGTATCTTGTCCTTTCATCCTCTTTACAGGGCTTTCACAAATCAAAAGTTTTTGTTTTTTAAAAAAAATCCACTTAACTGTATTACAATATTTCTCAATTGATTTGACCAAGATTATCTCTTTTTTTGCCGATAACATCTTATAGGTCACAAGTATTCTGCAAAACACAGACTTAAAAACATTGTTCCAGAAATTTCCTCACTTGTACCCTCACCACTCAAGTGTACTTAATTATCTCAGAGTTCTGCTTTTTACTAGGGATCAGGTTCTAATCTGAGAACCAAATTTCTGGCAGTAAATTCAATGAGAATGCACCATGCTTCCCACTGGCATATTAATGCTTTGCCTGGGGCTTCCTGGGGACAAACTTAAAACAAATAAGAAATAATTTGAAGAGTAAGAACTAGGGCTTCTGGGCAAGATGGTAACAGAACAGGTCGGACTGTGAGAGTCTCTGCAAAAATGAGTGTCCATAAAGACTCTCTGTGTGAGTGGGTGTGTGCCAATAGGTGAGTGGAAGTCCATCCGAGGGGAGACTTGGGTTCATGCACCCAAGCCTCTCCTCTGGAGGTGACTGCAACCCACCACCCTGAGATTGGAGACCCAGGTGTGCAGGATCATCTGCTATTCTTGGGGCTCTCTCTCTTTTTTTTTGAGTTGGAGTCTCACTCTGTCACTCAGACTGGAGTGCAGTGGCCACTCCCAGCCACCGCAGTCTCGACCTGCTGGGCTCCGGCGATCCTTCCGCCTCAGCCTTCCAAGTAGCCAGAATTACAGGCGCGCGCTACCACGCCCGGCTAATTTTTTTATTTTATTATAGAGGTGAGGTCTCGCTGCCCAGGTGAGTCTTGAACCCACGAGCTCAGGCAATCCACTCACCTCAGCCTCCCAAAGGTGTGGGATTACAGGCTGAGCCGCCAAGCCTGGCACTTGGGGCTCTTTTGAGAGGAAGTAGAGAGAACAGCAGCCCCTCACTACCTGGCACCTGGCCCCCACCATCACCTGCAGCAGCAGACTGGGCATGAGCAGGAGGAACCGTGGAGAAGGCAGGTCATGGAAATCTGGAATAAAGCTCCAGCACCAGTGATGAGATGCCAAAAGGCACCATCTTCTCAGTCCCAGGACAGGGCAGAGACCTGCATTGCCCTATCCAGCTCCACCCAACCTCCACCTTGGGACCCAGAGGCTAACCTCTTATCAGACTCGGAGAGACAAACACACCTCTCCCACGCTGGAACAGGCATAGACACATCAGATCTGAGTGGGAAACATGACAGCAGCAGGAGTGAGTAGGGTAAGTCTGGATCTGATTCATTCTTCGCCAACAGTAGTCCATGGGGGCATCTGACCCACACTGAGAGCAACCCTATCAGCCTGCACTGAGTGCAGAGGGGAGGGGCTGGAGACCAGAGCCACTCCCTAAGGTGGCGACAGCAGCAGGAACCTGGAGTTACAGAAACGGCCACAGAGCAAGTTTGTTTTCTTCTTGCTTGTTTTTTTGTTTTTTGTTTTGTTTTTTTTCTTCTCTCTTTCATTCTGTTTTTGTTACGTTTTTATACTTGCTTTGCTTCTGTTATTTTAATTTTTTTTTAGATTTTCTTTTTCTTTTTTTTTTTTTGAGTCAGTGTCTCACTCTGTTGCCCAGACTGGAGTGCAGTGGTGGCTCCCGGCCACCGCAGCCTCGACCTGCTGGGCTCCGGCGATCCTTCCACCTCAGCCTTCCGAGTAGCCGGAATTACAAGCGCGCGCTACCACACCCGGCTAATTTTTTGATTTATTGTAGAAATGAGGTCTCACCAAGTTGCCCAGGGGGGTCTCGAACCCACGGGCTCAGGCAGTCCACTCACCTCAGCCTCCCAAGGCGCAGGATTACAGGCTGAGCCACCGAGCCTGGCTAGATTTTCTGTTTTTCTATGGGAATTTTTTGAGGGAGAGTACACCAAGGGGGGGCGGTCTTTGTCTGTTTGCATGATTGTCTGAATGTTTTTGTCTCTTTTGTTTTTCTGTCTTTGTTTCTCTGTTTGTTAGTTGGTACACTTATCTGTTTTCCCTCTTCTTTTCCTCTGTCTCCACCTTCTTTTCATCTTTCTCCTTTCTTTTTCCATTCTATTGCCTTTTCTTACTTCATTTTGCTTTCAGGGAGCAAATAGACACTACCACTGTGTGGACAGATTGTAAGGCAAAGTGTCAGTGGACACTGGGATCTGCAGATAGCTTCCGAATTACAGCTCCCCCCTCAATTAAATCTCAAAACTGCAAAAATCATAGGCCCCCACCCTTAGTACAACTTCAGAATTGAACAAAATTAGATAATCTACATAAGGAGGAATAGGAGATTGAGCAAACAGAAATAAAAGCTATCCCTCCTATCACTGAACAACAGAATTAAAAAAGAGGTTAAAAGGCGGGGGGACCTACACAAATGAAGAAAAACCAAAGGAAGACTATGAGTCTCACACAGACCCCTGGGAGGTCAGTCACTGAGAACTCAAACAATGAAGAGTCTCCAGAATGACTGATCTCAAGCCACAAACCCAGATATCAAGATATTAATAGAGAGAATAAATAGAAATGAGGAGAGACAAGAGGAAAGAATGAAGGACTTGATAATTGAGATAACAGTAATAAAGAATACAGTGAATGAAATAAACAACAAACTGAAAAGCATGGAAAACAGAATTAACCAAGCTGAAGAATCTCAGAGTTTGAGGACCAAAATATGGAACCAACCAAAATTATTAAAAACAGAAAAGAAGCTTTAAAAGACAGAACAAAACCTCCAAGACATGAGTGATTATTTCAAGGGGCTAAACCTAAGATTAATTGGAATCCTTGAGGCAGACAGACAGACAGAGATCACCTTGGAACAAACATTCCACGAAATTATCCAAGAAAACTTCCCTCATCTCATCAGTGGTGCAACCATTCAAATGCAAGAGATTCAGAGAACCCCTGCAAGACAACAAATGAGAAAGACCAACTCCTAGACACATAGTAATTTGCCCACCCAAAGTAGGTATAAAAGAAAAAATACTGAGGGGAAGGGAGGTGGGATTAATGGTAGGCAATATCTGTCTACCATTATTGACAAGGGTGCCTGAATGAAGCATATTTGTATACCTAACCCTTAACTGTACCCCACAATATTAAAATAAAACATATTGATTAAAAAAAAAGAAAAGAAAAAATACTAAAGGCAGTAAGAGAGAACAGTCAGACTACCTACTGGGGAAAACCAATTAGAATGGCAGCAAACTTTTCTACAGCAATACTTCTGGCTAGGAGAGCTTGGAGCCCAATCTTCAATGTCCTCAAAGATAAACAATTTCAACCAAGAATTATCTACCGAGTCAAGCTAAGTTTCACCAGTGATGGAGAATTAACATCCTTCCCAGACATCCAATCCCTAAGAGTTTATGCTGCCTCCAGACCAGCTCTACAAGAAACACTTAAGAAGGTATTAAACACAGAAGAAAGGAAAAAAAGAATGACAACGCCCTTCCTAAGAATGCAGGAAAAAGACTGAAACACATAAGAATCAACCCAAAAATCAAAAGAAAGACAACAAACAAATAAACAAACAGTAGCAACAAAAATAAATTCTATAAGAACCTAATGACAGGGTTAAACTCTCACATCCCAACAATTAGCCTGAATGTGAATGGACTAAATAAAGGCACCACTGAAGAGACATAGAATGGCAAATTGAATAAGATATCATAAGGTTTCAATATATTGTCTCCAAGAGACTCATCTTACCAGAAAGGGCACTCACAGACTCAAAGTAAGAGGATGGGAAACAAAATTTCAGGCGAATGGAACACAAAAGAAATCAGGAGTCTCAATCTTAATATCAGACAAAATACCCTTTAAGCTATCAAAAATAAAAAAGATACAGAAGGTCACTACATAATGATAAAACTTTCAGCCCATCAACCAGAAATATCCATACTAAACATATTTGCACCCAACATAAGAGCACCAACTTTCATAAAGGAGTTTCTAGGTAAACTACAAAAAGATATTGACTCTAATACTATCATAGCTGGGGATTTAAACACCCCACTGAAAACCTCAGACAGGCCATCAAGACAACAAATCAACAAGGAGATTCAGAACCTCAACTTGACGCTTGATCAAATGGACTTAATTGACCTACAGAACACTCTACCCAACAACCACAGAATATACATTCCACTCATTACATAGTACTTACTCTAAGATTGACCACATTCTCAGTCATAAATCAAGCATAAACAAATTCCATAAGACTGAAATTCTGCCATGCACCTTCTCAGACCACAGTGGAATGAAGAGCAAGAACTTCAGTCTTTGTGGGAATTATTTGGAAAAAACCATTATATTGCTAGCAGGAAACCACTAGACATGGATTCTAGTTCCAGATTTATCACTAAGTGTCTTTGGATAAGCCACTCTACCCTTGGCCTGTGTTTCATTATCTGTGAAAATGAAGAGGCTGGGGCAAATTTTACATTCTGTATTCTAAATCACACCAGTATACCACCTGATTGTAGATGGGAATTCATCTGTGATGAATTATATGATTCTGATTAGACAAACTCAAAGACAGGGATAATTTTAGCATTAGGTGTGTTTAAATTACTCCTAAAATCCTTCTAGGTTTGCAGTATTTTCCTAATATAACCATGAGATGTTTTGTGCTTCTTTCAGAGTCAAAGTGTTGACACAATCTTCCACCTCTCCAGGCTTCCTGAGTTGGAGTACACTGAAATCTGCACATTGGTTCTCTGATTGTTTTATTTCTCATCTAAATAAACATTGAAAATCAGTGATTGGGAATAAATTAGGACAGAATGAGTCTATATTTCTAAAATTAAGTGGGACTTGAGGGCGAGAAGGGAGTAGGAGTGAGCTAAAAGGAGGAAGTATATGCCTGTGATGATTAATTAGTCAGTATGCAGATATGCATATGTCCAGTAAGAAGAATGTCATTAAAACTGGCTTATAATTAATCGCAACAGCATCCTTGCTTAAAAGCAACTTCACAAAGAAAAGTTCACCTCTGAAGCAATTTGCAAATCGGTTTAAAAGATATTTTTCCCCCTAACCTGTCATCCAAGACTAGGGAACAAAGAATACTGTGCATCTTTGGAGCAAAGAGAAGAGTGATAGTAACAGTCAGTCTAGGATGCTGATACCCTGGTGCTGGAGGAGAGAGAGCCAGAACCTCAAGTGCAAGAAAGAGGAAGTCTGAGCAGTCACAAAATCGCGTTGGTATTTAGAAAACCACTTAGTTAATTGGATCAATAAAAGTTTAACAATTTAAATTTGGAAAGGATTTGAAAAATAATCTATTGTCACCATCTTTCCATTATTTTCTGTCCTCAGACTTTTTTCAACATAATTATTCACTTTCCCATTTATTTAGCACTTTTTTTTTTTTTAGGTTTTACTATGGGCCAAGTACTGTCATAGATTTTGTGAATACCAAAGTGATTAGGACACAATCTTTTTCATCAAGGATTTGACATTGTATCCTAGCCTCATTAGGACAACTAAAGAAATTGTTACAAAATAATGAGATGTGGTTTTTTGGAGAGCTATGCTAAGGACTATTGAAAGCAAAAAGGAAGAATGCTTATTTCTACCTGGGCAAGTGAAAAACCCACAGGAGGGGGTTTTGTGGTTGGGAAGGGTAAGATTAGAAAAGGCTTCATAATCAAACAGGTTTCTGTAAGTATAGGGTTCCCTTTGAGGATCTAACATCACCAGTTTTGTTCTCTCTGAGATATAGAGCTGGTATTTAGGGTGGGAGGTTGTAGGGGTAGAGACTCCCAGACTCCCAGCCTGCCACCAAATGGCAAAAACTTCCTATCTTTCGAATTCACTGTTACTACTTTAGACACATTCAAAATTAATATTGTTTTATGTTCTCTTTTGTATATATTTTGCTTTCAATCCAGGGGACTTGAAAACAGCATAACAGGATTTCAGCACTAGAAAGTATCTCACAGAACGTAACTAGAGGTGACATTTCCAGGAAGGAAACTGAGGCCCCGAGAAAGCAACACACTCCAGAATATTCGAACACAGCTGGGACTAAACTTCTAATCCAGTTATTTTTTCTTTTTTCCATTATCTCTCCCCCTTGCTTTTTTTTCTTGTCCAGGCTATACTTACAATCTCCCTAGGGTGCTAGATAATACTTGGATATTCTGACTATTTTCATTTTAGCATAATTTTCCCATGAAGATTTTGTTGTTTCCTCTTTCAGAATTGACCCAAGAACCTCAGTC